GGTGACTCGACCACCTAACTTCACTAAAGGACCGAAAATTAACATATTTTATAGCAGAAAGCTGTGATAGCGCCAGGCGGGCTGTTACCCGATTCGAATAGAAATGTACCTGTACGGGATAAATATTGATTAATTTCATGATGATAGAAGAAACATAGTTCTGTGTGCGATACGATATGATATCTATGAGCTATCTCAATAGAATGTTTGAACTATGAGATACTGATCACCAATGGTTCCCTAAAATGCTCGCGTATGCATCTAAGTCTAAATAGACCGAGCGTACGGCGCGTCGCGTACCGCGCGCGCCTCAAAGAGGCATCAGACCACCACAGATGGGGCCCAATAGGGCCGATGCCGATTCGGAGTCGCGGAGAACCTAACGGGTAACCGGGGCTCCGGCTCGACGTGCAGGAGAAGGAACGGGGTGGTTTTTAGTCAGTAAGAGTCTGACACTCCCTTCCGCCTCACCCAGGCGGGAGTAGTCATTCGATGATTTTGCCCCCTTAAAAAAAAGTGTAAATAGAGGGCTGTGCGCAAAATTTCTCTGAATAAAAAGTCGAATCATTCGGTAATGTGGAAGACCCATTACGACGGCACAAATAATGGTCCGGTCCAACCAGCGTATTACCACGGCGTCGCAGAAAACTGCGAGAAACAACCCTCACGTTGTTCACTCGTTTAAACCGGCAACACACTTGTGCAACAACCACAACGCACGATGGCGGCGCTGTTTGCTTACGAACCACTGACCCGTGACTGACAGTTTTGAGATGCTGAAGATCGAGTGCTGAAGGTAGAGTGGTCTAAAAACCTAAAGGGCTACAAGGTAAAATAAAAGGGACATTTCAGTTGCGTAAAATATAATAGGGAACCTATACCTACATGGCACATTGTAAGCACAGGCCTGTGGACGACCCGAGCGTACGACGCGTCGCGTTCCGCGCGCGCCTCAAAGAGCCATCAGACCACCAAGGATGTGGCCCAATAGGGCTGATACGGAGCCGCGGAAGACGTAACGGGCTGCCGGGGCTCCAACTCGAAGAGCAGAAGTAGGAACCGTGTGGTTTTTAGTCTGTACCTAATGACATTCCTTCTCGCCTTACCCAAGGTAGGAGATGCCCCCCTAAAAATAAAATACGTACCTATATTTGTTAACACTCCTATTCTTGTGTCATAAGTAAGATTCGAATTAAGGACAGTTGATCAGTAGAGGCCATGCAGCAGTAGCACAATGATGTGTTCCAGAAGGCTAGTCGACCACATCTTTATTACTTAAGGTGTTGGTGACCAAACGCTGACCTAATGTTAAAAGCGTCAATATCTAATTTTATTCACTATGTAGGTATATCGGTCACGTACTGAGACATGGCAAATACATGCTGCTTCATGTTATAATGATGGGTAAGGTGGAAGGGAAGAGAAGCGCTGGGCGAAGGAAAAAGTCGTGGCTGCGCAATATTCGGCAGTGGACTGGTATCAGCTCTGTGGAACAACTTTTCCGCCTGGCCAATGACAAGGACCAATTTAAAAAGTTGACGGCCAACCTTCAGGAATGAAGTGGCACCATAAGAAGAAGAATGTAAGTAGGACAAACCTTGATTTCTTCCGTACAAACGCAATTCGAGTCAAAAAGGGTGTGCGCTAGACGCGTTCGACTTTTGTCTTGTTCTCTCCTATAGCTCTATCTTTTTCACTCGGAAACAGCTCTTGTGAAAATGTATGCTACAGCGAAAAAAGGAAGGTTGGAAATGAGGTGAGTTATTTCATCAGGAACGAAACAAATAAGGAAATATTTTTGGAGGCGTTGAAGACGAATTTTTAATGTTTCATTGACCGAATTTGGGATCAATGTTTCCATACTGCTGGAATTTGGAGTTAAGGAAAATTTCTCCCACCCGGGTAAGGCGAGAGGCAGTGCCAGACTCTTACTGACTAAAAACCACCCCGTTCCTTCTCCTGCACTTCGAGCCATAGCCCCGGTAACCCGTTAAGTCATCCGCGGCTCCATATCGGCATCAGCCCTGTTGCAAGTCTGGAATTGTGGCCGATACTTATATGGCAATAGGGTCACCCCCTATTACATGGGACTCATAACATAAATAGTAAAAAGTGGGTGTTACATTGTACAGTGGCATAATGTACACCTCTGCCTACCCCTTCGGGGATAAAAGGCGTAATGTTATGTAATGTTATACCACGTGCAAATAAAACCATGCAACCAAAGTCAACGATTGCACATACCTATCGCGCTAACCTGTGGAAACTAGTTTGAGCCGGTAGCCAGCTAGACCGTCCGCAGCTCCAGGGTCTTAGGTATTATCAGCGCCACTTATGAATACCCTTAACAACTAAACTAGCGTTACCACTTACCAGTCCGTCAAGAGCTTTTGAGGAGATTTGAACCTCCTCCGATCACGTCACTCACACGGGAAATTGCAACGCAAATGTAATTTCACTCATATTTTCGACTAGCTTTTAACCGCGGCTTCGCTCGCGTCACAAAAGGATGAAAAGCCAATGTGACATATAGAGGTACTAATATAAACAAAGCCATCTATACCAATACTTTTGTTTTCCCTCGGGAATATCAAAATTTTCCGGGATAAAAACCCTATTACCCTATTATTTAATCCAGACTTCTAACTTTACCTCTGCAAAATTTCAAAGCAATCGGTTCAGTAGTTACGTCGTGAAGGCGGAACAAACAAACAAACAAACAAACTCACTTTCCGATTTATAATATAAGTAATAAGTAATATTTTCTATAAGGCCGTAGAATTCAAGAAATCTATCTACTAGTGCGAAGAAAGTGAAAATTTCACTGAAGATTCCTATTTCCTAGTCCTTCAGTTACACACTCATTGGTCTTTGGGCATACAATTTAAAGCGTAGATCCCCGTCATTCTTTACGTGTATCGACAAACAATCTTTTGTATGAATGAAGTGGATTTATCTAACAATGTTCTGGCTTGAAGCCAAACTAGTGTCTTCATAGATACTGACTCATGACGATCATGACATCATCCCTCAGGGTGCAAGAATTTTAATGATGCATCCGTTTGTTTATCGGCAACTGCTGACTGTTGTGAAATAAGTAGCTCTGGTTTCCGTCCGACCGCGTCATCCATTTGCCATGTTGTAGTAAATGAGTCTCTTTTCTATGCTTAGGTAAGTACTTACCTAGCCAAAATCTATCTAAAATAGAGGCGGTAAAAATTGGCTATGTGTTCATAACTTCTATTAATATCGACGCATATCTGATATGATGGATCTTCTTATTCCCGTTAACATGCTATGTCAAAAACTCCCTTCCTAAATCAAAAATCTAATCAGGGAACTGAACAATACTGTAGGTATCTGTTTTAAGAAAATCAGTGTATCGAACACGCGGCCCATGCATCAAACGTGACAGTTTTAAAAATAAAACCGCACTATCTAGCGGCCGTACACCGGCGCGTCGACGCAAGCCGTATCTATTTATCGCGCCATATCTCCCTACAACAATACAGACAAAATAAATAAATGTGCTCGGGCCCGGATCCGGCGACCCTTCGCCACGCACGTAATCCATTCCAAAATGTCCGTTTATTTTTCTATGTGAGCCGCGCTCGGTAAAAAACAACGCGCTTGGATCGACCGAGTACCCGTGCGACAGGGACAGCAACACTCGGAGCCCGAACATCAGCGGGCGGGGCACCGCGCCGCGCGCTCCCATTGGCTCGCCCCGCGCAGCGCCCGCCGCCCGAGATCAACAACCAATCCGACTCCATCTTGTTTCTCACGTCCCGCGCCCCGCGAGGCCCAAAATACCGACCTTTCACGAATGCCAACCCGATTCGATACGACCGAAAATGCCTTAGTTACTTCACGCGCGCACTGTTGACTGGTCGCTTTCGCTCGTTTCTAGCGAAAATAATAACAAACCGCTGTCGGTGTTCTGAACTGGCGGTCGCGCTGTACTTGGAAAGTGTATTGGTGCAAGTCGTGGACATCCATCTGCTGATTGATTCAGGTACTAATTATAATTTTACACACAGTTAAGCCCTAAAACGTAATAATAAGGGTGGTGTAATTAGTTTTTCGATATCTGTCAAGAATCGTGAGATAAACGAGTGTTTTTGTACCGGTTGATCGAACGTAAAAGCGGTGTCCTCGTAATCAACGTAGGCCGTTCGGAGCGGCAACGTCGCGCGTAAATAATAGGGTAGGCGCTCGGTCTTTCTCTCGCAGCTGGCGCACAGCGGCAACGTCGCGCTCGCCGGCTTATTGTGCCTCCACCGCGTGCCGCGCGCCGCCACCGACTCGAGCGAGACGCATTCACCACGCTCGCTCTGCCGACGCAATATACCTACAATAACGACACGACACCGCGCTCAATCACGATATTACTTTGCATTTCCAATTAAATATTAACTTAGGATTCATTCCAGACTTTCTCATTCTATGCTACTTGGTGACTATTGTTTACTGCTTATATACTGAGGTATATAATATGTTATGTACTTTTTTATGTACTACATAGATTTGGATTTCAGATACCTAAACACCTAAAATTACAAAAATACTAGATCTGAGATTACGAGACTCATTATAATAATAATTTGCCGGCTGATAATAAGTTATAGCGCTGAAAACACAAAACTGATGAAAATAAAACTTGTTTACAGAATATCGAGCGGGTGTTGGCGGACTCGTGGCTCGCTCTGTCGGCGAGAAGCGTACAACGAGCGGGCGGGACGCGCGGGGCAGGGGCATCCTCCCCCTACTTCAGTTTCGACAGTGACGTTGTGAGGAGAGCACGTATCGCTGCGCGCCGCAAAAAGGATCGTTCGCGCGGCAACTTTGAACAGTGACAGTGTGAAGAAGTGTGTTGTGACAGAGAATGTGTATCGGATTGCAGTGCACTATTAAACGGATGCAGTGATTTGGATCGCAATACTTGGATTGCAGTGATTTTGGATTTGAATTCCGCTTTTCAATTATCTACCAAACTGGGGATGCACAAGATGGAGCTGGGAGACAGCGTGTACGCCGCTGAGCGTATCATAAGGAAGAGAATTAGAAAGGTGAGCTTTATTTCTTTACAAAACATTGCCGTAACAGATTCTAACCTTGCGAAACATGCATGCGAGATCACATATCAGCGTCGGTTCGATTGGTGACTTTATTTGTAAACTGCTTGTTTCGCAACACGCGAACGCTTGATTGTTTTGCTTGCACCGAATTTCAAAACATGCTTTAATAACGCTTTATATAAAATGCATCGCTGCGCATGATTGTAGTTTACATTTTGTTTATTAATCCCAGTATTGTGACGTGACGGCAGCTGTTCAGAAATTATCGCAAGGGTTTTGTGTTCCTTTTCACGGGTGTTTTTCTATTCTTATTATTATCAAGAGTCCCCTTACATAAGTCTCTGTACGAAGATTGGGGGCCTCAGTGAGAAACTGAATACTTCTTTATAAACGGTGCCCTTCTCGAGATTACATTAAGTTTTTGACAGTAAACAAGTTTGGACGAGACGTGTGAGGGGTAACCTTGCGATATTGTAATATGCCTTTTTTCATTATCTTTTTGGAGCCATTCCCCGTTACTAACCTGATCCTGATATTGATAACAATAAATTCTGCTTTTTGGTTTTGGTTTTTTATTTGTAACTGCATGTTCGGTCACATGGGGATTCATTGTCAGTTGTCGATTGTGTAACGGGTCTTTTGATGCAGGAAATGTGTTGATTATAGAACTTACCATACTTGTCTACTAATAAATCGTGGTTTCTATTGAGAACACAATTGGTCCAATCACTCGGTCACTAAATAGTATTAAAAACATCTATAGAATCGGCTTACTGAAATGAATCCCACTATTGTCTGTAAGTAAAACAACAGCGTTGTCATCGAAGGTAAGACTGTTGGAGGCGAAGGTGTTCATAAGGTAAGTGCAGTCGATCATGTGGAAAGGTTTGCCATTACGAAACCGTAGCACTGGGGAGAGTAAGCACAGTTACACAACATTGTTGATACAGGACATAGTTCCGACATTTCTCACTCCTGTCGCCCGATGTCAAACATAAACGTATCTTGTCTGGGAGCAGTTTTCTTTTTAAATCTGTCCCGGCTTTACATCGATAGCTTTGAAGTCTTTAAGGAAAATAATGTTTTGTCTCTGTAGTAAATATTGCAATATCTTACACTTTTGTGTTCGTAAACATGGAACTTTGATATGTTTTTTGAATGAAGACCCTTATGAGTTCCGTAGTTCTTTCTTTTTATGCCTTCTCAACTTTCTTTAGGATATGATTCCTAGAATTTTCTGAACTCAATATTTCGTGATCTGGTTTTCTGTTTGACTTACCTATATATTCATCATATTCAGTTATGAATAATGAGATCAATAAAAGCCGTAGTAGATTATTTGATAAGGTTTCTTTGACGCGTGAAAAATGGCAAACCTTTTTATAGGCGTATTGAGAATTATTTAGTCTTGTTTGTACCTAAAGACCATTCTTTTTACAGTTGCTATTTTTCTTTTTTATATATAAATATATACTAGATAACTTATCGTGTTTTTGGTGTTACAAATTTGGTCCTTCGGTACAACAATTTGTGGGCCCTTAAGCTAAAATATGTCTTCCGTGTCCTTTGCGTAGGTACATCTGATGTTGCATCTGATTCTGGTCATTAAAATAATACATTAGTTTTTTGGACGTAACTATTTGAAGATGTATATTAGTTTGGGTTACCATTTATTATAATCGTAGGTAATTGGTTCTTAATAAAGAACTAAAAATTGGAAGCAAAATCGTGGCACAAGCTAACTAGGTATCTTTATGACTATAACTCTCTTACAGCTAATAAAATGTTTCAGTTATTAAAAAAAAGTATTTTCTAATGCAATAAAGGACAACTGACTGATATCATACGAGACTGAAACCCTCTTAAGACTTTGACTGCCAACAAAAAACTGTTGAAAATAGATCCTCCGCTAACGCCGGTCACCGGTGACCCCCATGGCGTTTAACGTGTTAAACTAATAAAGGATAACTACTAACGAGTAAGTCCTAAAGGAATCAAAATCAAAGGCTTAGGTAACTTTTTTAAACATTGCAAATCAATGATTAAGTCCCATGTCTGTCTACTCTACTTACTATTGCCCTCAGACAGTTTTAATTACTCCAAAATAAACAACAAGAAAATAATATCGACGTCTGTTATTTTACGGAGGACAAAAACCTTTATTAGTTTTAGCAAAATTTCTGCTAAGTCTGTCCCGTAAATATTTTCTAAAATGTCTAGACTTTAAAGTGACTATGACCTCTGAGCTTGTCTCGGTTTTCTTCTCAAAGAAACGCCGACTCCATCTTTGTAAATCCATTCGCAAAATATTAAATTCGACATTTCTTTAAAACTTGTCTTTCGGAAAGGTAATCTCTTATTGAAATGTATTTGAACTTCTAATCTAAAGACAGGATTCTTTTAGAAAACGAAATTGAATTTCGTTAGCATTTCTTGTTATTATATTTCTGGGAAACCTCAGTTTTAGCTTGAAAAAGTGGTCATTTTATTGGAATAACGATTCTCCTACACTAGCTAGACCATACTATTGTGTTGGAACGGTGTGATTTTTAGTCAGTAAGAGTCTGACACTCCTACGAATTATACCTATATATTCCCCTCTTAAAAAAACCATGCCATTGATTTTAAATTATTGTATTCTAATAAAGTTTATTATCCTTCCTACACATATCTGACTAAAAACTTTTTGACGTCAATCTCTGACGTGCTCAACTAGTTTCGAGTCAGACCAGGAGTCCAAAGTCATAAGCAGCGTGCCTTATAGCCTGATTGAATATGTGTTAGTTTCATTATAAATTCTTCAACAAACTTTGTTGGCCTGTGCAAAAGTTATGACTGCAAATTCCGAAGTGTCTACCTAACTGTTTTGTTCAGGCTAATAGGGTTAGTCATTATAGGTACTACCTACTTACAATAATACCACGGGGCAATTAGCACAAATAGGTACCTTGACATTTTTTGTGTTAAGTGAACGGAATGTCGAAAAAAGATTTGCAGGGGTAATAAGAATTCAACAAATTGCGCAATTTGAAGGGCCCTAAAAACGACGCAATATTTCTCTGTTAATTAAAAAAAAAGGAACTATCCTTCTATAAGTCATTTGAATTTTACCAAAAACGAATTATAAATACTAGATTGAAACTTAAATGCCAAATGACCAATGAGTAGTTAATCTGGCTAATCTTCGCTCATAAGTTAAATAATTGCTTATGGTACAGCCACTAACTTCAAAAACCCATCCATGGTATACCTACTTACGTTCTACGACTAAAGAGAATTTACTTTCCCAACATTTATAACTTAATACTGAACAGCCAAATAACGAGGCTTACCAAAGAGTGTCTTTGTCAATTTCAAGCAATTTCCCGCTACAAGGACTAAAAGTTCACACCAAACTAACTCTTCAATTCTATTAACGTCTACACTGCATCTCCAAAAATAGCACGTTTGATCCTAAATTAGCTCTCTTCGCCATTTGTAAAACATTCATAATAAGTTCTTAGTTCATAAACACACGAAATGCAACACGTAGCTAAATATCACGTGCAACTTATTGAAAGAAACAATCAATTTCACGAACGGCCACAATTTCACTCCAATCCATTATTTTGATAGCTCTCATGCCGCCAAAAGTTTCCAACGCCCGCTTACTAGCGCCCGTGGCAATTTTAGGAAACTACTTAATATCAAAACAAATTGAATTTCACATGAAAATTGCCTCTAACCCAACGTTATAAAGCTCAATTTCATTTACAACTCACTCGTCTTGTTATCTGCCAGCGTGTTCTAATATAAACGAAACTTCTTGAAACAAGCCATTCTGTGTTTTACCATTCGAGCGTAAAGCGTAAATTCGGTTAACCAACAAGCCGCAATATAGAAACTCCTACAGAGCTCTGTAGCCCTGGTATCTTGAAGCAAACGCGCCAGTATTCGGCTTCGACCGAGCGGCCGTCGAGGTGCGCATGCTCCCCGCCGTTTCGTTCAGCCAATCAGCGTCGAGTAATATTCCGGCCGACAAAAGTACCGTAGTGTGTTGCGGCGATACAAATTAAACTTAAGTTACTTCTCAATAAGTATACTTTCTTCTGATTTTTTCTTTTAATTTTGATCATACAGACTTTAAACTTAATAAATATCAGAAGACACTTGAATGTGTTACTAGCGCCACAATGACTTCTGATCTTACCCTGCAATCTGTTAGCCAACTGTTGTACCACATAGTTCCAAGGCTATTTGTTAGATGGCGCTATTTTGCAATTATTGAAAGTAATTTAAAAGGTGCATTATTTTTTCTAAATTTGTTGGGATTTTTGAGATAGCCATATTCTTAGATTAAGAAAATATTTTGAAGTGATTACGAAGTTTTGATTCAGCGCCAGAAGAGCTTCTAAATGGTACATGTAATCAAATGCCCGGGAAGTACGGGAAACATAATTTGAGTTTGGTACCCAGTAGTACCCTTGTCATTTAAAGGTATTAACGGCCTTTTCGGAAAACGTATAAAAAACAAGAAGACGCAAAAAAATAAGCCGTTACAGGGTCACGGCATGGTGCGGATAATAATTTGAGACTCGTCCGGAGTGTGCACTCGGAAGCGGCACAAAGCGACCAAATTTTCTATAAATAATCGCTTCACAATGCTTCACCGTAATTTTATCCATCCCTGTATTGGAATGAAATAAAAAAACTGACAAGGGAACAGGGCGATCTGTGGAGACGACCCGTTTATTCATTGATTAAAGTTTAAACCTTTATGTTCAACTTTATGAATTATGAGTAGGTATGTTCAAATTGCTGTGCAGTAGGTAAGTTCGTGTTCTGGCTCGTTAGAAAGTATTCCTAACTACCTGTAACTTCTCTCGATCATAAAGTTTCCGATCGGCGCTAAGCAAGTTTGGAAACTTATTGTGTTCTTAACGTGTTTTCAAAAGTATCAGATATTAAAAATGAAAACATTTTTCAGAGATAGCAAAGCCTTTTATATTTTA